CTATCCCGGGGCCCCCAGAACACACATACACAGATACACACATACATACGTACACACATACACACACACAGGCCCACCTGCAGCACCAAGACCGCTTCATCACGTAATCCCGCCGCCAGGTGCAAGGGCACCCCCAGCAGCACATCTCCAATGCTGGCCGCAGCGTGGGCGGAGATCACCTTCACACTTTGCGCCAGTAACTGGCAACCGCCACCTCCCCCACCCCCACTGCCCGGGGGGTGGTTGGTGGCGGCTATATTGGACGTGGCAGCCGCCAAGGCTATCGTACACAGCGCATCACGATAGTATCTTCGGCGGAAGAAATATGACAGTTGGAGGTTAGTTGGGCAGTTGGGAGGTTGTTCGTTACTGGCAGGTACAATAATACCCGAAAGGTTATAAGATGATGTCCTAAAATTCGTACATAAAGGGAGCGTTGTAACCGCGGCGTCGAGGGTTAGTTGCATAGTTGGTTAGTTCACTCTGGGGTTTATAGATTGGGCTGGGCCGGGCCCCCCCCCCCCAAATGCGACATTTCCCCCCCTCTTTCCCGGCCCCCTCCCGTCCCCCCCTGTCCTGCCCCGTCATGTGCTGTCCCCCGCAGCGGATAACCCCTTAGTCCCCCCCCCCCCCCCCACACACACACACACCTGGCCGAGTTTTCCGGTGCTGACGCCAGCAGGAAGGCCACCGCGGTGTGGAGGTCCCCCACCGCCGTGTACTCCAGTAACCGCCGCTCCTGGGGGGGTGTTAGGACGGAGGGGAAGAGGCGGGGTCCGGGGGGAGAGGCGGCGGGGCCCGGTGGGGAAGAGAAGGGTTACGAGATACCGTCAGTCACATCACACCACTACGGTGGCAGGAACACCTTGTTTGTGCTCACTAGCTTGCGAGGCAGTGTAGACCGCTCACTAGGGGCTGTAGAGGTGTTGGCCGCCACACATGGGCATCAATCCGTGCCCGGGTGCGCCCCGCCGCTGTCCGCCCCCCGGCCTTGCACCACCGGGGGCGGGTGTGTTGTCTGAGGAATGATGTTGAGAGGGGCACACACACACACACGCACACACACACATACACACGCATACACACGCACATACACACGCACATACACACGCACATACACACGCACATACACGCACACACACGCACACACACGCACACACACACACACACACACACGCACACACACACACATACGGCTCAAGAACAGACGATGACAATGGGACGAGCAATTGCACCAACAGAAAGCAACACACGAACAGTCGAACTGACTGACTGCCGGTACCGGGACTCGAACCGGTGTGACCGCCACACAGGTATGTCCGGGTGCAGTCTTCCTGTTGTCAATCGATCTCTGTACAGTTGGTAACCAACCTCTCAGGTCTCCGTCACAAACAACCTAAAACTTCAACACCCTACTTACCTACATACATACACATACACATGCATACATGCATACATACATACATACATACATACATACATACTGGTAAACTACGAAGTGTGAGATGCAGTGCCGTACCAACCTGATGTTCTTGGCCCATGTCCAGTACGGCACCGCTGTGCGCCTCACGCCACTTGATGCGCTCCTGTGGTATGTGCGGGTGTGTGGGAGGGAAAGGCGTGTGTGCATGTGTGTGTGGGGGGGTGTGTGTGGGGGGGGGGTGAGTGGGTGTGCGTGTGCGTGTGTGTGCATGTGTGCATGTGTGCATGTGTGCATGTGTGCATGTGTGCATGTGTGCATGTGTGCATGTGTGCATGTGTGCATGCGTGTGGGTGTGTGGGTGGGTGTGTGGGTGGGTGGGCGTGTGCGTGTGTGTGGGTGTGTGTGGGGGTGGGGGTGTGGGGGTGTGCGTGTGGATGTGCGTGTGTGTGGGGTGTGTGGGGGGGTGCGTGTGCGTGTGCGTGTGTGTCTGTGTATTCCCCCGGCCCACATGTCGGAGATATCAAGGTGCGGAGGCGGGGGGGCTTACATGGTGGCTCATGACCTAATTTAAATTCTCCAAATTTTACTTGTATCCAGGATTTCCCAGACTATTAATAGCTGCTTCATATACCCCAAGAACACCATGACCAACCTCCACTAACTCCGTTACTGCCCGAGTAAGCTTGGGTGGGTTGATGGATGGGGGATTCACTCGTGCAGGTCTTGTTACACAAACACAGCCTGTCACCATCTCCCCCCCCCGCCCCCCCAATACCCCGACTTCCCCGCACACCCCGGGGCTTCACCCCCCTCCACCTCGTACCTGCGCCTCCGCCATTACCAGTCGCTCGTCCCACAGCAGTACGGCATTGCTGCTACAGCTGCTACCGGTAGGAGCAGGCGCAGCGGATGTCGAGCCCCCACCCAACCCCCGCCGGTTCCCGGCCGGCGGTACGGCAGTGGTGGCGGCGGCGGGTGGCATCCCCGCGGCAGCCCCGCCAGTAACCCCCCTCGTGCCCTCGGACCCCTCGCCCTGTACGAGGAGGACGACGGAAACATACAGACATACACACCTCGGCACACACCTCGGTGAAATGCTCTGTGCATATAGTGACTTCCTTCTTCAACATGTACGTATGTACGTATGTACGTATGTATGTGTGTATGTATATACCTACCAATGTATGTGTGTATGTATATACCTCCCGTGGCTTGCAGTTCATTTAAAAACGCATACACACACATATATACACACAGATACACATACATACACACTACCCCCTCCACCCCCCCTTTCCCCCTCCCACACCACCCACCATATCTTGCGTCTCCCGCCCCCTCACGGCCGCCAAGGTGGCCGGCAGGTGGCTCCAGAAGGCCGCCTCCTCACTCGCCGCCGCCACCTGGGCAGCTACAGCCATTCGATCCGCGGGGCTACAACCCGGGAGGAGGGAGCGGCTGTAGCTCAGCCACTCGTCAGGGTGCAGCAAACGACCCTTCGGAGGGGGGAGAGGGTCGGGTGTGGGAGGGGAGTGCGTGTACATACCGTGTGGATATGTACGGCATGTGTATATGAGGGGGGGAGGGTGGCATAGACGAAGGGAAGGAGTGGGGCCGGAAAAATAATAGCGAAACCCTAAAACCCGCAGATTATAAAACCCTAAGACCCTAAGCAATTTCGCTACTGCTACTGCTACTGCTAGCTCATTAAGATCTATAAGCCATCACAAACTACATCGCAAACTTCGACGGAACGGCTGCCGACATTCAAAGCTCGATGACTGCTGAAGTTCTGTTTAGTGGCCGGGGGTTCAGGGTTATTGGGTTTTAGGGTTTAGGGCTTTAGGGTTTGGGAGTGTAACAAGGTTTTAGAGGTTTACGGCGTGTAAGGTGTGGAGGTCTCCGAAGGACCCGAAGGCGGGGGAAGGGGGTTTAGCCCTGACGATCACCCCCATCACCCCCATCACCACGTCGCTCCCTGTCCCCCCTTCTCCCCCCCAGCCACCTGCGCTCTCGTAGAAGCCAACATTCGTAACATGTGGATGAGGTTGCCGCGGAAGAGAGGGCACCCGCCGGGGTAAACACCGCCGTCACCACCACCACCACCAGCAGTAGCAGCGGCAGCGGCAGTGGCAGTAGCTGCGGGGGCGGTCCGACCGACATTGCCACCGCCGGCAGCCGCGAGGAAGCCCCCGGCGGCGGCGGCGGCGGCGGGAGAAGCACCTACTCGGTGACCGTCTGCACTGGCAGCGGCGGCCGTTGCTGCTGCTGAAGCTGCATGCACGTCCGTGGCGGCGGCCCCGCCAACGGCTCCGCCCCCGAGGGTGGCCGCCGCCGCCGCCGCCGCCAGTGAGTTCGACACCGCCCTCAATAGCGCATTGCCGGACAGGGCGGCGGCGGCACTGCTAAGGCTGTTGGATAAGGCCTGGATAGTTAACACTGACGTACTGCCATCACCACCGCCGCCGGCAGGGGCTGTAGGGGCGGGGCCTCCGCCTTTCACCGCTGTCGTACCGCCGCCGCCGCCGCCACCGCCGCCGCCACCTGGGCGAGCCTGAGCTGGAATCCGGAGAGCGGCCGTTGCGGGTGGGCCAGCGGCGGCATCTGATGACGGCAGCGGCGGTGGTGGATGTACGGCGTCGTACAGGTCGTCTGAGGCTTGGCCGTACAGCGGCTCCCGGTCCGCCAGCAGCTCCAGGAGTGGTCCTCGGGCTGCCCGCGGGAAGAGCGCTAGAAGCTCGTGTCGTACATCTTCCTCCTCCGCGTCACCCGGACTGTACGGCCCGCACAGATAGCGCAACAGCTCCTGCAGCCGTAGCAGTAGCAGTAGCAGCAGCAGCAGCACTGTGTATGCGACTCGAGGACATTCAGAGAAACGCGGGGGGACAAAACGGTCATCGTCGTCGGCGGCGGCGGCGACAGTGCCGATAGGGACTGTGGCAGTGTGTATGTATGTATGCATGTGTGTGTGCATGCATGTAAATCATCATTAGGTAGCATTCTAGTACTGCACCGTACAGGACAAAACAGCCACGGATTCCCAAAGCCCTGTCCTTCCAATCGTACGGCACCTGCGAGACGCCTAGCTGTAGCAGCAGCCGCAGTAGCATCGCCCAGGGCCGCGGCAGTAGCAGGCAGGAAGCGAGGCCGCGAGTTTGGGCCAGATGTAGACGGCGGCTCCCGGACGCCATGTCGGCGGCCGTTACCGCAGCGGCAGCGGCGGAGGCAGCGGCTGGTGGCGGCAGCGGCGGCGGCGGCTGTAGCGCCGCCTTTAGGGCCCATCCACGACTACTGCCGCCGCCGCCGCCGCCGCCAACGCCCCATTGCGGTCTCCGTACAGCATGCGGCGGCGGAGGAGGAAACCTCACAGCGGCGGCGGCGGCGGCGGTGGGTCCGGCAGGAAGCGGCGGCCGCCCTGGACCCGTCGCCGACGGCTGTGGCGGCAGTAATGGGTATGACGACGCTGGCGGCGAGGACGGTAGCAGCGGGGGCGCCGCCGCCGCCGCTGGGCTCAGGTCAAGTACAGACAACGACCCTTCATCCGTCACGACAGCCATTAGCGATACACCGCCGCCGCCGCCGCCAGCGGGCCCCGCCGCCGCCACCTGCGGTCCTGGATCCAGCCACCAGAGCGGCAGTAGCGCCATATCCATCACAGGCCGTACACCAGCGGCGGCTGTAGCAAGTACGGGCCGTAGCTTATTGGACGAGTCCAAATCAAACACGCAGCAGTGCCCGCTGGCAAACAGTACGGCAACACGGGCCTTGGTACCGCCGACGGCGACTAGCTGCTGCGGCTCTGCCGCCGTTACCGCAGCGGGCTGCTGCTGCTGCTGCGGCGGCGGCAATATCTTAGCGGAAGGGAGAGGCGCCCGGAGGGGGCTTTCCACAACCGGTGTGGGCGGTGACATGGGGGTGGTGGCTGTAGTAGCGGCTGTAGCAGAGGAGGTGGTCTGGGGGGCCCCTGGGGAGAATGCGGCTGCTGACGGCGGCGGCGGCGGCGGCGGCGAGAAGGCGGGGGATCGTCCCGCCATTGCGGCAGCGGCGGTGGCGGCGGCGCCGGCTGGCCCCAGGGGAACGTGTCCGATTTGAATTTTTCGAACCAGCCCCAGACTGCCGTACAGGTAAGGGTGATGGGAGAAGGGGCGCGTGTACGGCAATGGAGGGGTTGTGAGATTTCAAAATATCAAAGCGAGAGCCGAGCCAACCTGACCGACACATCCAGAGATGGTGTTGGCGAAAGTGAACGATGTGAGAGAAATCCCAATTCACGAAGTGAGCTAAATGCGTATCGATATACATTGCTGTATACATATTTATGCACGAGATGGCGGGGTGGTGGTGGGGTTTTGGTTTCGGAGCGCCCCGGCTTTTGTTGTTGATGGTGGTTGCTGCAAGTTGGCAACGGGAGTGTAGCGTTGGGAGTTGGGAGTTGGCGGGGGGTGGGGGTGGGGGGTGGGGGAGAAGATCACGAACCACGTGAACGAGTGAAGCTGATGCCCAGGAGGATATCGACTCTGGGGGAGTACGGCAGGCAAAGGCAAGGAAGCAACAACTAACCAGTCGCGCCTCGTGAAGAAGGAGGGGTCTCGCGGTGATGTCACTCGTCATATGGCGATATCGGAACCCTACCTAACTACCTACTTACCTACCTAGCCGCCAAGAATAAAACAAAATACGGAAAGAAAGAACAGCAGCAGAAAAACCATCCGTCGTACTCTAAAGGCTCTAAATGTCAAGGCGGTGAAGAGCAAAAAAGAAGAGTACCATAAGCTGCAGTACATGAGCTGCAAGGAAAAAAGTTGACGTGGAAGCTGGAACATCATCTCAAGGTGGTCGCCAGCGGCGGCGGCGGTAGAGAAAGGAACGAAGGAAAGAGAAATCTGGCTTGTAGGCGGGCGGGTAATCAGTACCACACGACACCAGTGCTCTCCCCCCCCCACCCCCCCTCCCCAACACCCCCCCCAACATCCCCCCAACCCACCCCATCACCTAATACGCCCCTGCCCCGACCGACCCATAACCACCGTAGCCCGTAGCCCCCGGCTATAACCGACCGACGCAACGGTATTAACCGACAAAGCTCTCGAGCCTCCTCGGACTCCCCTGGCCAGGCGGCAGAGGCGTTGTGTGTGTGGGGTAGGTGGGATTATTTACACACCCTTTATAAACCCCTCCCCCCCCAACACACACAT